CATCATAAATATTCATGATGCAAAAATTAAGCAGTGGATTCTGTAATACATTTTTTTATTATTTTAAAAGGTCCTGCATCTAAAATAAACGAAGAATCCTAGGCTTAGTTTGCATGACATGTCTAAACCAGATCAGTTTAACTAGATTAATTTTAATTTGGTTCGTTTTTCATGGCTTACCATGTTAAGCCATGCAAAACCTTGGTTGGCTTATACTTCACTGTATTGTGCAAACATATGAAAGAAATGGTTCATTCGGTAGGTGAGATAACCAAGAAACTTGAATGAGTCCATTCAGTAATCAAACTGTGCAAGGCCAACCCATTTGTATGTCTGAATATGAATTTGTGAGATGGTTGACAGCCTGTCAGGCCCTGGTAATTAAACAATAATGTATTCCTCTCCCACATACACATTAAACTCTGGGTCCTGTTTAAAAGATGAAATCTTTCCAGAGATCTGCTTACTTTTTCAGTAGTTTAGCCTGTGAACTCTTACAGTTGACAGGAGCTCTTATCCATGACTGTATTCCAAGTGACAAGCTGAATATAAAAGTTTTAGGCCTTCTTTATGCAAATACCTCACAATGTAACTGAAGAAATAATCCTTAAAGTGCTTTGGTAATTACTTTTATTACTGCTGTGGGAAGTAGTAAACAGCATAATACAATACAGTCATCAGCCAGTATGGATAAAGGCAAAGCAGAGGCAGGCTCATGGATGCTATGAAAAAGCAGCTGTTCAAAGTAGTTGATCAACAGAGACAATGCAAAAGACCACTGGTGTAAAGCATTAGATAATGAAGCAAGGGGTATTTTACATGACTTAGCATCTAAAAGGTAGAAAAGAAATGCTAGGTCTTCTGTGAGGAGAAGATTCCTGGTCGAATGCACCTACAGAAGACTCTCTTGATCACTCTGAGAATTGCCCATCTAATGGGGGGAGGGGGGAGATGTTTGGTGATAATCCCAAATCTGCATTGTGGGTCTCTTGTAGTTGTCTTTTGCCAGAGATCTTCTCAATGGAAGGTAATAATGTTTCAGAATTGATAGTACAAACTAAAAACTATGAATTTTAGAGATTACAAAATAAATGAGAAACTTTAATTAGTAAATCAGTTTAGAGAAGAGAAATTTTACCTGGATGATAAGGATTGCTATGTGTGCCTTATTTTTGTGATGACACCATTGTCTCAGTTTAGCAGCTTACACAATTTTGATGTGCATTGGCCACCAGCTTGGCTTGCTGCTCTGTCATCAAGTATAGCAGCACAGTATCTGGAGAATGGGAAAGAAAATGTCTTTGATTTTGTCATTTTATTATGTGTATGGAAAACATTTAGCTGTTTTCTTATGAGGGTCTACAGAAATACAGTTCAGTTATCTTTGGTCATAATTGATGTGATGTGATTTACACTAGCAAAGACTGGAAATTTTAACTGGAATCCTATTCAGTTTAAAGCACCTCTAGTTGGAGAAGATAAATATTTATCTTAATAACCAGATTTTACCTAATAATGTATGTATACATGTATGTAGGCAGAAACTAATTTCTGCCATGCCCTGCTTGTTCCTGTCATCCTTCTTGAGGCCTCTGCCATGCAACAGAATTGGAAAAGAACAGAACTGATAGGCATTTGATTTATTCATGTTTGGCAATCCATAGGAAAGGTTCCAATTATGCCTCCTTTGTAACATATGTATGGCCTTTCAGATATAAGAAAACGTAAGGGAAGAGATTCCCTTTTGGCTCATCTTGAGACACTGCTGTGATAATTTCAGTTCTTCTCTTTCTTGAAACATATTCATCTCTTAAGAGAAAAGGAGAATGGAACTTAAGGTTAAAACTTCCTGATAATGCAACTAGGGATACAGTAAGCCTGCTTATAATAATGGATACTTAGTAAAGATTTTGTGCCCATTTCTAATTTCTAAATGTGTAATAGAAGCTACAGTGGGGCAAAAAAGTATTTAGTCAGCCACCAATTGTGCAAGTTCTCCCACTTAAAAAGATGAGAGAGGCCTGTAATTTTCATCATAGGTATACCTCAACTATGAGAGACAAAATGAGCATGATTTGCAAATAAATTCTTTAAAAATCAGACAATGTGATTTTCTGGATTTTTTTCCCCATTTTGTCTCTCATAGTTGAGGTATACCTATGATGAAAATTACAGGCCTCTCTCATCTTTTTAAGTGGGAGAACTTGCACAATTGGTGGCTGACTAAATACTTTTTTGCCCCACTGTACTTGTATACAGTTGTTTCTGTTTGGAGTCTGCCCATGATTTGCAAATAAATTCTTTAAAAATCAGACAATGTGATTTTCTGGATTTTTTTCCCCATTTTGTCTCTCATAGTTGAGGTATACCTATGATGAAAATTACAGGCCTCTCTCATCTTTTTAAGTGGGAGAACTTGCACAATTGGTGGCTGACTAAATACTTTTTTGCCCCACTGTACTTGTATACAGTTGTTTCTGTTTGGAGTCTGCCCATGATTTGCAAATAAATTCTTTAAAAATCAGACAATGTGATTTTCTGGATTTTTTTCCCCATTTTGTCTCTCATAGTTGAGGTATACCTATGATGAAAATTACAGGCCTCTCTCATCTTTTTAAGTGGGAGAACTTGCACAATTGGTGGCTGACTAAATACTTTTTTGCCCCACTGTACTTGTATACAGTTGTTTCTGTTTGGAGTCTGCCCATGATTTGCAAATAAATTCTTTAAAAATCAGACAATGTGATTTTCTGGATTTTTTTCCCCATTTTGTCTCTCATAGTTGAGGTATACCTATGATGAAAATTACAGGCCTCTCTCATCTTTTTAAGTGGGAGAACTTGCACAATTGGTGGCTGACTAAATACTTTTTTGCCCCACTGTACTTGTATACAGTTGTTTCTGTTTGGAGTCTGCCGTATACCTATGATGAAAATTACAGGCCTCTCTCATCTTTTTAAGTGGGAGAACTTGCACAATTGGTGGCTGACTAAATACTTTTTTGCCCCACTGTACTTGTATACAGTTGTTTCTGTTTGGAGTCTGCCTAAGACATACAACTGACAACTTGAGGTCAAAGCTCAGGATTCTGGTTGCGCAGCTTGGATTTAACATGACCCTTTAGCCCTGCATTGGGCATCCTGTGACCCCAAACATTTATTTTTTGCAGCCCCCAGAGTCTATTCAGATTATGCTGTCAAATTTCATCAGTGTGTTTGCTGAAAATAATCAGTTTCCTGTCGTTTCGAGGCAGGAAATCAAGAAAACTGTATCATAAAATATGCTTAATGCAGCTTAAGTTCATGCTGAGTGTTTTTTAGCCATCTTAATATATGACATCACAGCCTGATACTGCACTGCTATTCTTGGCTTTTGGTTTGTTTTACAGGTATTAATATGTTTATATTGTTTTATTTGCCTTATTTGAAATCGGACAAAATGTGTTTTCATGTTGTACGCTGCCTGGAGAGGCTTAGCACAACAGATGGTATAGCAGTGTTTTACATAAATATGGATAAAGAAGCAAAAAACAATTAACCAACACACTCTCTACTCTTGAAAAATGGAAAATCCTAGCTCTGCCAGGTACGCAACATGGCTAAGTGTAACCTCTGGCTGCCCAAATATTGTAATCCTTGCTTCATCCATTCCAGGGGATATTGACAGTTCCTACATTCTCATGGAAACTCAAATATGTTCCTAACAGAAAAGAGGCATTTCACTGGCTGTGTATTTTATAGTTATGTGCAGGGCAGTATGGTCCACTAAATAGAGCTGGTTTTCCACACCTAAAGGCATATCTTTATTTATTTATTTGTGGTAGAATTGCCTTCCCCAATTTTTTTTAATTTTTTAATTTTTTTACTCTCTGTCTGTCTGTCTTATACTGTCCTGTTGTGGAACGTGGGATTGTCCCAATGAGGCAAACTAACCTCACGTTGGCAGTCATACATTCATGTTTCTCATTTCCTGCCATAGACAGGAAACAAGCCAGCACTACCTTCTACCACCACAGCCCCCCTTACTGTGGGAATACAAATGACTTCATTCTGGTTTTTGTGAAGGCAAATTCAAGATGAGTTAGACTTCCCTAAGTTGATGCTCTCCAGAGGCATTTGAATACAGCACTTGTTATCCTTTAGCCCAGTGTTCTTCACATTTGGCAACTTTAATATATGTGGACTTCAACTCCCAGAATTCCTCAGCCAGCAACAAGATATAGGCTGGATTCACACAATATGCTCAACACGTTTTCATTGTGCGAATGCAACTATTAGGTTTTTAATAAAGCTTGCCAAGGATGTTGTAGAAACCTGACATGTGGAAGATATGAGGGCTGGGCAGACTGCTGTAAATTTAAAGGAATTTACATAATAATAAATAATACATAATGCAGTTCATTCTGTCCTTTTCCAAAGATTATGTCAGGTTACTTTATGGTGAAACTGTCCTAAATCTCTGGTAGTTTGTATAATAACACACTTTGATTCTGGAGTCCATGTGGAATGATGTGGCAAACAACCTGGTACATGTAAAGCAGCCTAGTTGTTCAAATCATCTAGATTTGCTTTAGAAAGGTCTTCCATAACCTTAGAGGGACTAAGCAAGCCTGTATGACTGTGTCACACTGCCTATGTTCAAATAACATGCATAATCAGAGACTTAGACCTAATAGTTGCATTTGCATAACATATATTTGTGTTAATGGTAGCTTAACAAAATGTGTGATGCCAGTCCTTTTGGTTATTTTATTGCTCAGTGCGTGTGTGAAAGCAGAAAATAGATTAATTCAGTAACCAAATATGTTACGAGAATGTAATTATTGAGAGACCAAGAGTAAAACTTAAATATCATCCCTCATTGGTTTGAGTGGGATTTAATTTAAAGTGAGTTGATGTATAACTCAATCCTATATGTATTAACTCAGAAATAAATCTCTTCAAGAACATCCTCATGACTTTAGCTCTCTACTTTTTTAACTTTGTTGATTCTTTCTGCAGGCTGAGAAGAAAGCTAAGGTAATTGCTGGGATGAATGCAGTGGAAGAAACACCACGGAGCGAGCCCCAGAAGGAGGAGGAGGCTAGTCCACCAGCCTCACAGCAGCCAACTGACCCTGCTTCTCCCAGTGTGGCCACCACCCCAGAACCTGTGGGGCCTGATGCTGTAGACAAGAGCATATCAAAGTCAGCTGATGATGAGCCAGAATATGAGGTGAATCAGAGAGAGGGTTCTGCTCCCAGGCGTGAAGTTTGTTTTCTCACCATTCTAATCTCCTGGCAACACCATTGCCCCTGAGACATCCCTGGTTAGCCTTTCCTGTCCCCAAACAGGGCATTTGTGGCTGTTTGTGGCTAGCTGGATAAAAGGAAAGAAGGCTAGCAAGTGCCACCTCTCCCTTCAAAAGTGCCATGCCGGTGGAAGAAACTGTCCCTGTTGTTTCTCTTTTATGTATTGACAGCTGCAGCCATGTATTAGGTGCTGTGAGTATGCAGTGCAGGCAGAGATGAAGGAGGAGCCTGAGGTGGACAAATGAATAATGAAGATGAAGGCAGGGAAATGGAAGAGAAGAATTAACTTAGGAAGAAGTTTGTTTAACATAGGGGTTGTGAAGAAGAGCCTACAGGAGGAGAAGAAAAGGAAAAAAGGTGGAACAAATAAAGAAAGGGGAGGCCAAAGTCTAGACCTAGGGAATAGCATACTGAGTACTGGAAGTTGAGTGGGTAAAGAGCTAGCTGATGAGATGGCACTTGTAGACTGGAGTGAACTTCAAGAGAGCTAATGAGGGGCGCAGATCTTTTTCACTTAGCTATTGACACTATCAGAAAACAGTTTTTGACATTGTTAGAAAATTCAGAGAAATCCCTGCCCATCTGCTTTCTCCTCCTATAGAATTTTCCAAGTCTCATCTCCTTGCCTTTCCCATTTCCCAAGTTCCTTTTCCTTCCAGTCATGTTCAGGTTCCTTCCAAAGCATTGCTTACTCATCTGTAGGTCACGCTTCTCTGTATGTGGCTCCCTGTTCTTCAGCATGTTCTCTGTGAATCATGCACATGGGATTGACAACTGTGTAGTGGCCTTCATCAAAATCATCCAAAACTAAGGATTTTAGGAAAAGCCCTGGCCCTCTTTGAGTATTTACATGTGACTCCTTTCATTTCCTTCCATTTTTCCAATCACTATTAAGATAACGCTTATTTCTTCTTTTCAATTGCAGGATGGCCGGGGGTTTGGGATCGGGGAGCTGGTGTGGGGAAAACTGCGTGGATTCTCCTGGTGGCCAGGCCGCATTGTTTCCTGGTGGATGACTGGAAGGAGTCGGGCTGCCGAAGGTACCCGTTGGGTCATGTGGTTCGGTGATGGGAAGTTCTCTGTGGTAAGTGACTGAGTTGGAGGTGGGTTTTCTGAAAAGGTCCCAAACTGGAAGAAAAAGACTTCCTCCAACCTATTAACCCTAACCCTAACCTTTGTATGAAGAGACCTTCCTGTGCTCTTACTTTATTATTTTATCTGTTTATTTCTAACATTTATATGCCAACTTTCTATAACAAGTACTGAAGATGGTAGAAAATAATGCAATCCTTGTACGATTACCATTAAAACTACTGTAGCCCCTGTCCTTTGGAACATCCTCCCTTCAGAGATTAGGATGTTGGCCTTTTGTAAGTCTTTAAAGACCTGGCTATGTGCCCGGGCCTGAGGCCTCCAATATGTTGAGGACCCTGTCTCCTGGCTATACTGATAATTATTATCATAATTTTCTTGGCTGCCATATATATTTATTTTTGTATTGTGTTTAACTGTGTTTATTGCTTTAGAATTGTTCGCCTCCCAGAGTCATTTGGTTGAGATGGACAGCTATAGAAATTAAATAATTTTGCAATCCAGCTGAAAATAGCAGAGCAACTGACTTTTGTGCTAAAAGGCAACAGATAAAACTGCCTGCTGAAGAAATTTTTATATTGGGCGAGAAGGACTTCCTTCAGCTGGATATTATAATATTTTGGCACCACCACAGAGTGGTATTGCATAACTACAAGTATAGCCCACTTTCTCAGTCCCAAATCAATCAGCAGTAGGACATTTGAAGGGTTTTGTTCTTATTAAAACTTATATGTATGATGCCACAATCACGGAAGAGTAATATAATACTGTTATATACCAAAGATTCTCAAGCTTTGCAATACTATGATCCCCTAAAATAGAAAACAGATGATTTAATTGTGGTTAGGATTGGGCAAGAAATGAATATACCACCTCCTTTTAATTATTAAATTTAATGTATGTATCAATTATAATGATGGTAGAACTTTATAAAAGAAAACCTTTCCATTGGAAATAAAAAAAGAATAAAATTTGAACAATATTTTAATGGGAAATAAGGATGAGTTTGCTTGCTTTTTACAGTACTTTTAAATTTTATTTTGAAGACAGCCACCATCATTTTTCATTCTTCATTTATTTTGTATTGATATTTCCATTTTTAGCAGCAATTATAAGAAACCCTGACTCACACAAATAGGATGTTGCTGGCTTTTATCAGAGCTACCAGTAGATGGTTTATCTTTAGTTTCTTTGTTTCCATAAAAAACATTTCTATTTTGAAATGCTAAACATTTAAATTAATGGGTAGAAATTTTGGGTGTTACTAATTTCTATACTTCTGCAGATACACCAAAGATTATAGATGTATTCTTGCATGTTACACTGGCAAATATATTGGTGGTTGTTGTTCAGTCGTTAAGTCGTGTCCGACTCTTCATGACCCCATGAACCATATTGCGCCAGGCCTTCCTGTCCTTCACTGCCTCCCTGAGTTTGCTCAGTTTCATGCTCATTATTTAGGATTACAAACTGAATATAACTTGAAATTGTTTGCCATCCAGAGTCACTTGGAT